TATTTATAATAATAATAATAGTATTAAATCATAAGTCATGATAAAATTAGAGATTAGGATAGGATTTCATTAATGATTATGGGTAAGACTTGAAGCTATATGGTTGGGAATGTGGTTAGTTAAATGCAAAATTAGATATTTGTAATATTTATATTATATAAATTGTATATAAATTAGCTAGCCTACCTTAGAAGGAATGGAAGGGAGTTAGAAAAAGTTATAACTTTTAGTGAGCCATTGTAAAAGTGTGGAAAGGAAGAGAGAGAAAGAAAGGAACTTAGACTGGTGTAGGAGAAATTTACCCGACTACGCGCAACCGGCGGATTTATTTTAAATCCAAAAAGGCAAGTTATTATCTACTTTTCCCCTTTGAATTAATAAATTAATTGTTTAGTTTATTTTTATGCATAGAGCCCAGGTTAGGAAATTAATAAATTATTAATTTTAGTTTATTAAATTAATGAAATTTTAATTATATAGGATGGTATATATTTATTTAATATCCTATGAAATTAATAATGGCTGAAAATAATTAAATAAGGCTTTTGGGATTTTTCTAGAATTTTTAAGATTTTTCCGGGGCTTTTCTGCAATTTCCGGCGAAACTCCGGCGAGGTTTCCGGCCACCGGCAGTGAGGAAGGTGACCGGAGTTATCTGGTGTGTTGCGGCGTATTGTAACAAGCATGCGCATGGATCCTCAGCTGTTAGATGGGTTGTAGATCCTTAGATTGATACGGCGTAGCGCGGAACACCATATGATGGTGCGCGCTAATCATCAGCCACAGGATGAAAGGAGTATAGGTGGATTGATCCGGTGTGGCGCGCATGTAGGAAAGATGATGCAGCCAACCAACCGGAGGTCGCCGCGTCAGCAAGAAGCCATCAACGCGCGCGTGGGAGCGCGTGCGCGAGCGTGGAACCCTCCAGACGCGAGTGCAAGCGCGTGGGAGAGTGGGGAAGGTTGGGCTGCGCGTGGGGGAGCTTAGGGCAGCGCGTGGGGCCGCGTGAAGGGCCCTGTCAGCTGCTAAAAATTACCAGAATACCCCTAGGGCCTGTTTTGTAAATTCTAGAACCTTAAACGTGGATTTTTAGGTACTGTGTTGGTATTTACGGGTTTAACGGGCCACGAAATTATTATTTTAATACCCGGTAATTATTCTTATGGCCGATTAATCTTTTCTAAGCATTTATTGGCTCGTTTACAGTACGGATATTAATATGATTTATTTAATGACATTGTTAAATATAAATAATGTATTATCTTATTAAATGGTATCAAACATTACTGTTAAATTAAATAATGCCATGGTTTTAGTCATATAAATTATCTATGATATCTTATGGGATGTTTATACTGTTAAATGATATATAAACCATGATTATTATGCTGTGTGCATTTCAGGAAATAAATGGACTGTTTAACTATGTCGCACTTATATTATATGGATGTGTTGCCATATAGAACCATGTGAGCTAGCTAATAAGTTTAGACTCATTTATACCTTATGCATTTGTTGCGATAGACAGATGTGTGGCTGTCGGGGTATGTGGTTTAATATTATTGGCATGTGTTGCCTAATTGACATACTCAGTTTATTTAGTATTATTATTAGCATGTATTGCCTAATTGTTATGCTCAGTAACTCATTAGTACATTGAGATGCGTTACTACTGTGTAGTCTTTACAGTCTGTGTTGTCAGTACCGTGCACCATGTATAATAGCTGATTTCCCGGGTAGGGAAAGGAGACACTTAACTACCTAGTGTGAGTCTAAGTGATCACCGTTTATTCTGGTTGAGGTCATGTTATACATTGGCTAGTTCCATTAGCATGTATACAGATATAGTACTCATCCGGATATAAATGATTCATTTATTTGATTCTCTGATTTGGGTCATAGTAGAGAAGACTTGCTCGTGGGGTTGACCCACCATTGTTGTTATTTCAGGATACGGTCAGTACCCGTTCCAAGGTTGAGGTTAGCAGTGTGGAACCACCATCCGAACTCATCTACTCTTACGATCCAGTTCAGGGTAAAAGTTTTATGCATTACTTCAGTTTCAGTTTTTTATTTACTTTTGACGTTGAGCTCTCCGGTTTATATTTAGGGATCCTTGACATAGGATTTCCAAGTTGTAATGGAGTACTGTATTAAATAAAGGATGGATGGATGGATGTGGTATTATTTAGTGTTCCTTTCCTGTCTAAATTCTTTTATTACCATCATTTTGTATTCCATGCTTGTATATTGCCAATTGTTTTTGATATTCTTCGTTTTTCGTGTATAAGCCTGATCAACTTATGCGTGAAAAATGTTGGGGGTGTGATACTTATTTAATTCAACATGTCATAATAATGAATATGACATATTTAATATGTTACCTGTTTAAACCCAATTACTATTAACACTTAAGTCGTTTTAACATAAACCACGACTACGTCTTATGATTTTTCTTCTTATTTTAAATATTTAGATTAATTGTGACAAATTTTTTCTAATATTTTTTATTTGATTAAATATTAAATGTCTCATTTTGTTAAGCAGGTCATTAAACGTGTTAACCCGTTTAATAAATATGTTGGGTTAGTATTAAGGGTTCCTAACACGATTATTAAATGGGTCGGATTTGAGGTTACCTATTTAGTAGAATAATACCCTTACATCAACACGATACGATTATGACTCACGAACACGAATTGTCACCTCTATCCCTCGGACCAAAAATAAAAATAAACGTATAAAAACTTCATCTTTTACAATAATAATTATAATTTTTAATTTAATATTAAATAACAATGTCAAATTTAATATTTCATGACTCCTTTAACAAGTTATTATCTCAAATGTTTTGTTTTTGTTTTTGTTTTTTTTTTTAACAAGTTCCGTTGACTTTAATCTTTATTTAGTAGTCTAGACTATGCATGGGTCCTAGTTTGAGCAAAAATAAATCGGAAGTATGATATCATCTTTGGTAGGGGTGGCAAATTAAAATATGATTTGTCAACGATATGATACGATAAGTAAATTTTGATTAATTTTAAATGAATTCGGGTCATAAATAAATTGATACAATTAACTCGTTTACTTATTTGTGTCGAGATAAAATTGAGGGAGTTCAACACGTGTAACCCGTTTATACTTATTTAATTCAACATGTCATAATAATAAATATGACATATTTAATATGTTACCTGTTTAAACCCAATTACTATTAACGCTTAAGTCGTTTTAAGATAAACCATGACTACGTCTTATGATTTTTCTTCTTATTTTAAATATTTAGATTAATTGTGACAAATTTTTTCTAATATTTTTTATTTGATTGAATATTAAATGTCTCATTTTGTTAAGCATGTCATTAAACGTGTTAACCCGTTTAATAAATATGTTGGGTTAGTATTAAGGGTTCCTAACACGATTATTAAATGGGTCGGGTTTGAGGTTACCTATTTAGTAAAATAATACCCTTACATCGACACGATACGATTATGACTCACGAACTCGAATTCTCACCTCTATCCCTCGGACCAAAAATAAAAATAAACGTATAAAAACTTCATCTTTTACAATAACAATTATAATTTTTAATTTAATATTAAATAACAATGTCAAATTTAATATTTCATGACACCTTTAACAAGTTATTATCTGGAATGTTTTGTTTTTGTTTTTGTTTTTTTTTTTTTTATTTTTTTTATTCTGCTTGGATTTTAGGGAAGATTTTAAAAGTACAGGGGAGTTTTATGGTTTTAATCCATCTAAAAAAAAAAAAATAACTACTTCCATTTCACTGGAAAACAAAAGGGCTAGTTGGTTCTCCACTCTTTGCTTATGTACGATGATTTCTGCTACAAGCAATGTAAATGCCTTGCTTTTATTCTTTCTTTCTTTCTTTTTTATTCTTTTATTCTTTTCTTTTTTTCTCTATTTTTAATATGTTTCAGCCAACAGTAAAATTCAGAACTCTAAACAGTAAAATTCAGAACTCTAATCTTGTCTCCACGCCCTAGAGAACACTATGAAATTAATTCTTAATAGATGCCTCTTCAAAATTAGTTATTTCTAAATTCTCAAACCAATATTTGCATGTTTCAACTTTAAGCCAATTAGAGTTGATATATATAGATCAAATGAGGCCCACATATCTTTATAAAGTACTCCTTCTAACTCGTGAATCACAATTCCTACTTGCTTATGTATGATGATATCTGCTATAAGCAATGTGAATACCTTGCTTTTATTCTTTCTTTTTTTTTCTTTTTTTTTCCTTTAATATGTTTCAGCCAACAGCAAAATTCAGAACTCTAATATTGTCTCCACACTCTAGAGAAAACTATGAAATTAATTCTTAATAGATGCCTCTTCAAAAGGAAAAAGCTTGCCTTAGGTCACATCAGTAGGCCTCTTTTTCTAATGCTGATATGGACCAACAACAACTTAACATGTGTCCAAAAAAATTAAAAAATTAAACTTGAATCATGCAGATCTTTTCACGGGTTATCCAAAAAGAAAGAAGATTTTTTTTTTCTTGGTTTGAGATTTTCTCGTGTGAGACTCGGTAAAGCTCTCTCTCGGTCACAATTCCTTCTCTTCACACCAAATTGCCATTTATGCCCACCATCTCTCCAATTCTGAAACCCTAATATTCATCATTTGTTCCGCCAGCCGACCTCCACTGCTTGTTGATCTCCTCCATTCTCAAACGTACCATAATACTTTAATTACAAGCCTTAGAGTTCAGAAATTATTCAAAACACCAGATTCATTGCCTGCCATATCTGTTGCTATTCCATCTCTAAAATGAAATATATAGATCAATTGAGGCCGACATATCTTTATGAAATACTCCTTGTGAATCAGTTCCCAAAACATGAAACTTATTATGAGGACGGAGGGAGGAGGGAGTACGAACAGTACATGAATGGCGGTAAAGATGGCTGTTCAATAAAGTCGCACATAACAGAGAAGAAAAGATGAGGCTAGTATGTTTTACAAGCTTTTGCGAAATTCATGTTGTATTTAAGACGTGCATGATCAAAATCACCATGTTTTCAATCACAAATCGTAGTAGTACCTTTGTTACAGCCCTAACAACCACTATAGTTCTAAAGGTTGGGAGAAACTGGGGACAGAGAGCCCGTTCAGAAGAATCAAGACTAGGATATGTCACAACCTAATTTCACAAATTTCTTCTAATTTTAACCGTCAAAAAAGTAATGGATTTGTACAAATATGTTGTTCTAGTTCAATTACTTCGAGGTATGTTTGGTCGTGTCTTCATGCTAGCCCTCCGCACCACATCCCATGCCTTCTGCGGGGCTTTCACACCTTGCTGTGAGGCAAAAAATGACTCGTAGCCGGGTGAGTCAAAAGCAAAACCGGTGTGCTTTGAATTTTCTCGAGGGAGCTGTGCCATCGCATAGCTCCTCGCCTCATCTTGCGTGAGCTGGTTCCCAATCTCCAGTAAACCTGCAGAACTATAATCTGGCTCATGCCTATGGATTTCCTGAACTATCTGATAATCATAGGGGAAGAACCATCTCTGAGCCCTGAAGGAAGAGCAATCAGCATTAGATACAAACTAACTATTAGAAATTCAAACTAAGACAGAGCATTTAAAAGGGATGTTTTCATCCAATGTAGTTGCAACTACTGCCACAGAAAATACAAGTGAAATGCATGTCATCCTAACTTTGTTACTACATGAAACTGATGTTTTCTTTTCGGATGCAGGCCTACATAATAGAACCATATCATGTATACAATTGACATATTCGCAGAATGGAGTGGAGCCATGATATGCTTGAATCACAGTTATGTCTTAAATGCATTGTTGTTGGTGCAAACGAAGTTAAGTTTACATCGAGGGTGCTTAATTCCAAGTTTTCCATTGTTGCTGCATCATTGTGGTTACGAGATTTTCATTGCTTGCTTCTGATTAGGCCTAGTAATATGTGTGATATTCCCTGTTTAGGAAAAGCATGACGTCTACACCATAAATGGTGAACCCGTCCCGCTGTGTAGATATTGTCCTGCCGCCCCACCCACCCCCCACAAAACAAAAAACAACCAGCAAGGAGATGTGGGACGCCAACATTATTGATGCATGCCATCTCCATATTCCATTCTACTCCTCTCACCCAACTCAGAAAAATCCAAGAGCGATGGTAATTTTAAGTAGTTTATAGCCCAGACAGAGACCACCTCCAGCAGCTATTTATTTAGATTTAGGCACCACAAACAATAAAACAGAAGCTGTTTATCTACCCATTTCAGTATGTGTAATCATCACGACATGGACTATGTCGCTTCTAAAGGTAGACCATAGGAACAAGCCTTGTCTCACCAGTAACAACATGATGAGGCAAGTTTGCCTATCCATCAAGAGTTACCTTGTCCATATATGGAAGCTACAAAGTGCTTCAAGAAAATCATTTTTGAAACTTACCCTTGGTATAAGAAGTCGCCAAGAAGAGCAACAATGGGAACAAGAAGAAGTGCAAGATAAAAGTAGAATGTGCTCATCAACACATAAATGACGGTAAAGATACCCTGCAGTGAAAGTAAGCAATGAGAAAGTTAGCATGTATACCAGTACAATAAGCAGTTGTTGAGATTTTAGTAAAGGGCACACCTTAGCGCCGGGAATAGCTGAGTATATAAAGACAAATATGAACCATGCCAAAATGCTTCCCCCAACACTAATATGATGCCACCTTGTAAGCGTGTTACACATCAAAAGAAGACGAATGTTTACAGTTACTACGACACAGGTGAAGGCCATTGTGCTGACATCCCAAAGGCCAAACATCCTGCCAGATGAATTTTTACCACGGGAACTGGAAGTGGTCACAAAATAATAGAAGATTAGCGACTGGTAAATTGAAAAGAAAGCATGAGTCCCCACAACTCTCCATTTGAAGAAGGTATTTCTTATTCCCTCCCGGTATAACTCAGGGTACTTCTTGGAAAGAGATTCACTGACGTCCTGGCAAAGAACACAATAGAACAATCAAAGATTTATTGATTCAAATAGGTTGCACAGAGGGTTGGAGAGTACCAAAGATTTGATCGTAAGATTGGGTCTTCAGAATAAAACCATTAATCTGAACTAATGATATTAGAGTCCTTTGTAAATCAACATAAATTGATAGAATGTAATACCTTCTCAAAAAGTCCAACGATGATAACGGGCAGGGCAGTGAAAATAACATTGTACAAAGACTGAAACCAATCATCATAGAATCTTTGACCAGAAAACCCAGTTTGGAAGGTGTACCAAAATTGAACCAAAGTGAATGTAAGATTCTTGTAAAAGAAGTATGTCACAACCTGCAGTGAGGAATTTTACTGGAATGTAAAATTCCAAATGGAAAGAAATAAGAGTTCTCCAGGTCAGGAAAAGGTAGAAAAGTTAAACCTTGCATATTCTCATATATGACCATCGTCCATGGACAAGAAGCAAATCTGTAAGAAAACGAAACTGAGCAATTGCGAAATCACTAGCCATCACTGCTTGCATTCCTTCCATCCCACTGATTCCAACACCAACATGAGCTGCTTGAATCATGCTAACATCGTTGGCACCATCACCAATGCTAAGTGTTATTCTCCGTGCACCTTTCCTGACCAGGCTTGTCACCTGCAAACAGCAACAATTATTTAGATTTCACCCTAAACCACGTAGCAGCATAAGACTTGCAGATTGAACATATATCAACTTTCGTGATCAAAGCTGTAATGGATTTTAAAACAGTTTTCAAACAGCAACTGACACAACTTCTTAATGTCACAAGTTTTAGGGTGTATAAGCCAGAATGAGACCAAATTGTCAACCTGTCTCAATATGCTGCTTTGCCAAGTTCTATAGCGATGAGTCAAATCAAGAGTAATACATTCGCGATACCATTTGGCCAAGCAGATTGGTTATTAGAATTGCATAAAATTGTTGGACGTAGATTGGTTATTATTATGGCATAAAATGCAGAAAAGAAGACTTTCAGAAAAGAAAGAAAAAAAATCCAAGCATAGGAAACTATCATACTGCAAAATGCATTGATAAGCTCAAATACAAATGGGGTATACTTCTATCATAATTGGAGATCATAAAACTTTCTGTTAGATATATTTCAAAGTCAAATGCTACTTTTAATGTTTAGAAGAAATAACACTTCAATTATCTACATAAAGAAGAGCATGGCAAGGAACCTCACTTGTGCTTTCTGTAAAGGAGAAACTCGGCAGCAAACTACTGAAGTACAATTCAAGCTCAAATTCAGTAGCATTACTCGTAAACTTGGGTCCAATGCATACATCAAACACTTTCCATCTATTACTAGTGCTAATTTTGGTCCAGATACAGTATGAAGACAGTTTTGTGCTTCCTCGTGGCACTTCTTTAGCTCATTCTTTACTGCATCTCTCATAAAGCGTGCAATCTCCACTTGGTCCCCCTGAAAACAGAAGTTAAAGCAACAGTTGAACCTACAAATACGCTAAAATACACAAATTTGATGTAACTACATGCAAAAAACATGTTACTTAAGAATTGTAACTTACTCTGCTTTCAACTTCTCTGATAGCATCAGTTTCTGAACTAATGATAAACTGTTTCATGCCATTATCAAGCAACCTGCATGCTGAGAGAGATATGAGGAAACAACACCTGCAGTGAAAACATAAACAAATGGAAGCATCATATCTCATTAAATACTGCCTTACCATAAGCTATATTTATTGCTGTTTCCATCTTGTCCCCTGTTAGCACCCAAATCTTGATTCCCGCTCTAGAAAGAGTCTCTATACAGGATGGTACTCCTTCTTGAAGTTTGTCTTCGATAGCAGTGCACCCAATCATAACAAGATCCTTTTCTACGAGCTCTGCGACCTGCAAAAATTTCACACGTTTTTATGCAGATATGTCCTAATCCATATCTAAATGGAAACTAAACAGAGTATGCACACTAGTATCATACAGAACCAGCTGAATTCCAAGAAGAGCACTAATACAGGAAGCAACTATTCTTGCATCTATAATATTAGACATCTGAAGTGGGAAAATGACATAACAAAATAAACTCCAGTGAGAATCAATAAGTTGAACAAGCTTCCAAATCTTAAAGGCTAGGTATTTACAATATTGACAACTAAAATACAATTACAAGGAGATCAACACCCCCTTTAACTTGTTCTAATGAGGGTACTAAGTTGACTGCCAATAATCACTAAGAGATGGTGGTTGGTTACTGCCGACACTTACCATAACCAATCCCAATGGGACAGCCAGGTTGGTTAGGATCTCTTGGTGACAACCAACAAGTCTCAAGTTCAACTCCTCCCAGACTTGGTACATGTGGCTTTGGGGTGGTTCCATCTATCCAGTGGACAAAGTCTCTGGTCCTAGACGGTGTTGTCAATGTTGTATACATGACAATTTTAATTCAAAAGAATTAAAATTGTCTCATAAAATTATAAATTCAGAAGTAAACAAGTATTGGAGAGACAAACATCATTAATTCAAAGCTAGTGCATACCTCATCTAACTTCTTCTCCCGGTCATGCAGAGATGATTTTGCCTGAATAAATTTCTCATTCCAATTTTCATATACATCAGCACTTAAATTTCTATATGCCAGACAAAGGGTACGCAATCCAGCAGCTCCAAATTGTTCCAAATGCTCCCTGGTTGTTTTATTTAAATCATCATTTCCATATGCCAATCTTTCGTAGATTACAGTATCAGCACCCTGCGACAGAGATTCTGTCCAAGTGTCATCTTTTTCCTTGTAATTTTCAACTCACATAAGAAGCCTCACAAATCAATTACCTTGCAGTACAGTACAAGCCTACCATCTGGAAAACGACAAACAACAGACTGGCGCTTCCTCGTACTAAATACACAAATAAAATACAATCGATGTTATAATCATCAAGCATGAATTCACAAGTGATACAAGGAGTCGTTAAGATTACCTACCTATTGAACTCAAGGACATTCAAAATCTCATAAGGAACATCTTGAATCTTTCCCATCTTCTCAGTATGTGACTCACGAACATAGATCATAGTAGGTGAACGCCTGGGAAAAAAAGAAAGATAAAAAGGCAAATTATTAACCTCGCACCAAGCCAAATGCCCTTGAAGAATAGAAATGCTGCTACAATAACAATAAAGCTTCAGTACAATGCCAGTCAGTGCAAAATCTAAGCACTTCTACAACCAAAAATAATATAACAGAACAAACTCTCTCAAAGAACCACTACTCAATCTGCGATTCAATTTGTTACAGATAAAAGGTGGGGAATATGAGGGGGAAAAGGATATGTCACTCAAATGAAAAGTACGAGAAAATAATACCATTCCTAACAAAGCATAGGAATTATTAAAAGGTTTACCTGTAAAAAAAGAAGCCAAAGTTCTTTGCAGCAGTAACCAGAGCAGCCTCATCAGGAGATGCAGCTTGATATTTAATTTTTTCTTGGGATTCCTCACCCTCAGGAAGTACAGTATGACATATAGCAAGGCATCTGAAGAATTCCTAAACAACAAAAAAACAAAAGCTTTGACTAAAAATATGTGATAGTATGTGTTGTGACATGACCATATGCCAGGAAAGAAACTACATAGGCAACAAATGAATGATTATTGCAATTTGACTAACAATCCATCTAACTCAGATCCTAACAAACAGCTAAAACTAAATTTCAACCAAGTGATTACACTATAAAGCTCATGTTGAAAACAGCATCAAATTAAGCAAATCAGTATTGAGTAATTTACAATGTTATATTAAGACAAATAGGAGAAATTCCATATTTAAAAAGTTACCAAAAGCTACCAAAAGCTATATAAAATTACTAATTAATGCCATGAATTATCCTAGCAAAAGACTAAAAAAGAGAGGGAAGGGGTTCCATTGTTCAGTATGCTTAAGCACATCAATTAAAAACCAAAGGGCATCTAGCCCAATGGTATAACCTCCCCCATCCTCAAAGAGGAGGGGACGGGTTCGAGCCTGGGTGTGAGCAAAAAGTGTGCGAGTACTTACCTGACCTAAAAAAAAGACACCGATTAAAATGATGCATGCCAAAAAAGGGAGGTGCCACCAATAGCAAAGGAAACAAAGCAGAATAGGTTATAGGATCCAAAAGCATTTTCCCAGAAGATTAAATTGAGACGTCCATTTTTTGTTAACTTAGTATCTCCATTAAAGACGGAAATAATACTATAAGTGATAATATTCACATGCACATATGCACATATTACAGAATTTAAAATTAGATACTGCACACTCTCAAGGATAATATTCACATGCACATATCCACATATTGCAGAATTTAAAATTAGATCCTGCACACTAGAATATTGTCTCAATGATATCAAACGCAGAGATGAAGTATCAAACGGGTAGAGAATTCTTATAATATAATGACATCTAATAACAATTACAAATATTTTAAAAATAAATATTAAGAAGTGCCATATACATATTCTTTTGATGTTCCCTCCAGAATACGGCAAAAGTCAACTGCCTGGTTTCAAATGTATATTGTGAATTTTACCAAAGCAGTAAATTTTTTAAGGAAAAACTTAATCTTTATATGATGTAAAAATAGTTAATCAATTGACAATGAGCTACTACCATAAACTATGCTATCAGTGACGGACCCACAAAATTGTATGAGAGGGGGCGGCCTTGAAAAACAAGAATATATAATGGGGTATTATCAAAAATTGAGTGGGGGAAGCATTTTAAGATTTTAATAAAAATTATAGGTAATTTTGTAAAAAAAAAAAATCAGTGGGGGAGGCTGGTCCCGTAACAGGTCCTTCTCTGTATGATATATATACATAAATATATAGACCTTAATTTTTTAAATGTCAAACCACATCTTGTATCTGGATACCAGTGCTCATTGCATTATTACCAAACAAATTGATTTACCTTGCACAAATCAGGATTAGGTTCATTCCTCCAAGCACCTCGCATAAGCCTAGCATCATCAAAATTGAAACCCTTCTCATGTACCACTTTTGAAGATTTCTGAACATTTAAATATTTAGTGACATTAATATTATCAACATATACATTAAGTTAATCATTTTCCAAGCAAAGACATCTAAACTTACCTCCCCAACTTTCATGCCATTCCGCTGTGCTCCTCCTATCTCAATTTCAGTGACACCAGTTCCATAGACCTCTCCTCCGATTGAACACTTGAAGAACTCCATCAAATTTCGCGTCAGTGTTCCAGTTTTATCTGAAAATATGTATTCCACCTGTAGCCAAAGGAACAACTTAAAGTTGATAGCTTGTAGCTCCACTTGACAAACAGCCGTATAAAACTAAACTAGAATAAGAAAAAGTAAATAATAAAGGCCTCAATATTTAGAGAAAGCCCAACATCAATATTTTTTTTTCACAAGAACTATAACAGTAATAATGCCTTTTAATTACTGAAAGAGAAAAATAGATAAGGGACTATCGTCACTCCTCCCTCTAGAAAGGCATTATGGCATTTACCTGTCCAAGTTCCTCATTGAGATTGGATGTTCGTGCTAATGCAGGGGTATTGGTTTCATTGTGGTACATACGCAAATCATTGTTAATAAATTGAGTGGATTGAATAAATTTGATCATCTGAAGAAACAAAAACAATAAGAACCCTTAGAAAATAAATTATGTGCAGCCTGACAAAACAAAAATGATAACAGTTATAACACAGACACCAACCTCAACAGAAACATAAAGAGAAATGGGGATAATTGGTGAATACAGAGTAAGTAGGGTAAACATAGTCAAAAAGATAACCTGTAAGATCAACAAACAGAAGCAATAAGAAATAGATTAGGAAAATAAGAACATGAAAAATAACTAATTTTAGAGGATTCCTCCAATTGCAGCAAGGAAAATTTACCATAAATCTGTTGTCAGGGTTGAACTGTGGATCTAAATTCTCTGGTACACGAAGACCCAAGTAGAAATACTTACGATCTATAAATACACCACTGAAGAATTTCGTGAAGCACAAAAATTGTCAATCACGAGAGAATTTGCAAAGGAATGTGGAAATTTCATAACAGCATAATATATAGAATAATTTAGCTACTTGTCACACCTGCATATGGCCCCAAGCACACACATACAGAAGAGAAGACCAAATATAGCGAGTATAAGTTTGTCAAGTTTCCTCTCTAGCGTACTTCTTTTGGAAGGAACATTCATAGAATTCATCATAACCTTCAATTCAGACAAGGCAGCCATAGAGATGCTAAATGTTATAAAACAGTACCATAAAAGATGATGTGAGCAATGAACACATCAAAAATACAAAGAACAGTAGCTTAACGTAGAACAAAAAATATTAATGTATAGAGATTTCAAAAAACAAACACCACTAATTCAGATTTAATCATTGGAGTAAATTTTAGTAAGAATTGGTATCGGTGCCTGACGCAATGAATGGCACTAATTTCCTTAATATATTCTTGGTGCTAGAAATATGTAAAAAGGTGTCACTAGCCTCAAACAAAGGAAATGATTTTATTATGATCATTTCGTGGATAACACATGGCTCACTTGCAAAAAGGGGAAAACGACACAAATTGAATCAGTCTACAAAAGCACACCTTTGTCTCATGCCCAGTAAAAATAACAACTCCAACAATGTACTCAGTGTTTCTCAAACTGCATCCCTGGAAATAAGGTGAGAGCCAATGAGCAAATGCCAGTTCAGTTTCACCAGTGGATAGTGAACGGAAAATCAAAGGAATAATAGAGAACCAATAGAGTATAGAAGAATCAGTCAAACGGGAGAGCAGATATATGTAATTTAAATTAATAAACTTCAAAAAATTATCAAGCACATAAATATAGAATTTCACAAAAATAAGATCATTTAACAGATAATAAAGAACTGCAAAAATGATGACAATACGAGAAGCAGCCAAGTATCACAATTTCACCTGAATTACTACTAGAAGTGAAACTCAAAATAACTGGCCACCAATAAGTGACAAAAAGAAATTATCAAATCGTACCCGCAACAGAAGTTGATTTGGACTAAGGGGTAAAGTTTGCTTTTGGATCATCAAATTACCAGTGAAAGTGTACAATGAATTGTTTGGTTGCTCACACTGTATTTCACCTGCAATTAATAGAAAAATCCTCATAAAAAAATAAAATGTGAAAACAACTTAGAATATGAATATGAGGGAGGGAGGGAGGGAGGAGTGGAATATGAATGTGGGTCCTTTATGCTTATAAACACTTGTCAGATTCATATTAACTTACATCCTGTACAAACTAAATTTAACATGATGAATGAGAATATGTTCGATGGTTTCCAGCAGTGAAAATTCAATTCGACTGAAAAGAAAAAATTGCAAAAAAGGACCACCTTTTATTCAAAAAAATGACCCCAATAAAGTAGTAATAATAATAAATAAATAAATAAGAGTGTGGCAACATCCAAGATACCACATCCTTAATAGATTATCCAAATTTCTACATAAAGACCTTGAATTCAAAAGAACATCGGTTTTGCACCAGTTAATTAGAGCTTATAATAATGAAATAAAGAAAAGAAAATAATGTCGTGCTTAATTGCTGCAACATTAATATTTTATGTCTACAAGAAACTAAGTGGATAGGAGCAAAAGCTAGAGAGATTGAAGGATATAAATTATATTATATCGGAACGAGTAGACATAGAAATGGAGTGGGGATAATCATTGACAAGAGTTTAAAAGAAAATGTGATAACTGTTAGGCTGTAATCGAGCTGAGCCAAGCCGAGTTTTGGAGTGTTTGGGCTCGGCTCGGCTTCTCTTCAGGCATGTTTGAGCTCGGCTCGTTTTCAGCCGAGCCTAGCTTCAACCTGATCGAGCTCAGCTCAATATGGTTTGACGAGCTCACGAGCTACTCGAGTCAAGCTCGTTTATACCCAAACCTAAATATACATCCTCCACACAGACACACACATTTATATACACAAACAATAAATCACAGTCCAAACCTGATCAATCTTCACAATTTTTACTAAGAATCAACAAATACTCAGAATCACATCCCAAACTTGTTCAGATGCACGTCAGATTTTGGGAGGATCAATGATGTGGGGACCTTGTGCTGGCTTGTAGATTTCCTCATCTTTTCAGGATTGCTGTGAATAAGCATGTTGTAGTTGCTGACTGTTATCGGCTTGATAATGGAAGGGTGGCTTGGGATGTGCAGCTTCGCAGAGGGTTGCATGATTGGGAGCTTTTGGAGATTTCAGATTTTCTTGCTCTGATTTAAGACCAAGTGGTGGAGGGTGTGGGTATGGATGTGATGGTGTGGGAGGGGTCATTGAGAGGGGTGTTTGAGGTTTGATCTTTCTACCAAAGTCTTATGGAGACCCCTGGCCTTTCCTTCCCTTGGAGAGCTATTTGGAGGACTAAAGCCCCCTTGAAGGTGGCTTTCTTTGCATGGTCAGTTGCCCTTGGAAGTATCCTCACTCTCGACAACCTCAGAAGAAGACGCCAGGTTGCAGTGAATTGGTGTTGCATGTGTAGGAAAATTCAGGATGCTATTATTATGGGGCATGAAATGGTCAGTGAATTCAAATATAAACATCCTATTATGGCTCTGAAAGCTGATATCTCCAAAGCCTTTGATTCAGTTTCTTGGAGTTTTCTCTTGAAATCTTTGACAGCTGCTGGTTTTAGTTCAAATTGGATTAAGTGGATCTCCAATCTTCTGTCATCTACAAAATATTCTGTCCTCCTTAATGGCTCTCCTGCAGGATTTATTCAACCTACAAAGGGGCTGCATCAAGGATGTCCTCTTTCCCCCCTTCTTTTCACTATGGTGACAGATCAACTCACTCAATTCATTAACTCCGAAGTTGCTAATGGAAGGATCAATTTATCTCATACTGCTTTGAAGGCTGGTTCTACTACATGTCACACTTTCTTTGCAGATGACCTGTTGATCACTTGTAAAGCTTCCATATCAAATGCTAGATCCTTGCAAGGTTTGTTTAAAAATCTTTGGTGAGGCTTCTGGCTTGAAGATTAATTATCAAAAGACAAGTGTTATTTTTTCTAAGGCTGTCAGAAGAAGAAGAGCTATTCTTGATTTGCTGCAATGCAAAGAAGAGTTGCTTCCTTTGAAATATTTAGGCATTCCTTTGTGTTCCACAGGTCTAAAGAAAGCTCATTGCACTGTGCTTATTGGCAAAATTTCAAAATAGCTCACTGTTTGGAGTAACAATTTACTGTCAGTTGCAGGGAAGGCTGACTTAATTAAGACAGTTATTAATCCAATATGTTTATACTGGTGTAGTGTTTTTCCCTTGCCAGTTGCTGTCCTAAATCATATTCAAAAGTTGTGTAGAGACTTTCTGTGGGGCAGCAAAAAGAATATGAAGAAATTGCATCTTATGAGTTGGGATTTGATGTGTAGGCCTAAAAAGGAAGCAGGGCTGGGTTTCAGAAAATTGCTTGATTTGCAGCATACTTCCCAGTGCGTTTTGGCTTGGAAATATTTGCAAAATTCAGACAGAATTTGAGTTCCATGGTTCAAGAACAGGTACTCCTCTACTTCTACTTATTGGAATGCAGTTCCAAAGTTTTCTCATTCTATTCTTTGGAAGAACTTGATTAATTCCAAGGATCTTATGCATCTCAACATTAGTTTTTCTATTGGTACTGGGCATAGTTTTAAGATTTTGACAGACCCTTGGTGTGAAGGCCAAACATTGATTCAGAAATTTGGTCATATAATTGTTAGAAGGCTGGGGTTTACTTGGGATACTCCTTTGTCTACTCTTTTGGACAATGGTGAATGGAATTTGGAGCTTTTACAAGACATTATGTTCCGGCCAATTAAGGATTATGTTCAGACTTTGATTATTCATGCAAGAGCAGATCGCCTTACGTGGGATGGAGGTCCTTTTACTTTCAAATCAGCTTGGGAAAGTTGCAGAATAAACCATCCAGAGGTGGATTGGTTTAAAGTTTGTTGGGGAAAATCTCGGCCTAAATGGTCTGTGTTTGGTGTTTTTCTGTTTCAAAATAGGCTTCCTACAATGGTAAATCTTCAGAGGAGGAAGGTACAATTAGCTTCAAGGTGTTCTTTATGTCTACAGGAGTGTGATACCAGAGACCATCTTTTTGTTGGGTGTTCTTATGCAAATAGTTTCTGGAAATGGATTGTGGATATTATGGGCTGGAATTTTGATATTTCTTTATTTTCCACATTAGAAGACTTGTTGTATTGGTTCTCTCAACAGACCAATAAGATGTTTTATTCAATTTTTGTGGCTTCATTGTGGAGCATTTGGCAAGAAAGAAATGGCAGGCTGCATGCTCATTTATTTAGACTACCTCAAGATGCTGCTACACAAATCTTATTTGAAGTTCTTGATATCTACAATGTTGCTATTCAAGATCTCTCTAGATAGTAATTTTGATGATTTTCTTTGTTTTGAATTTTTTCATTTTTCAGAATTGATCTTTCAATTCTTTTCTGAGGGTATGCCCTTTGTGCGCCTGTAAATATTTTTTCCTTTTTTATACAAACACCAAGTATGAAAAAAAAAAAAAATGTCAGGCGAATCTGTGAACCACTTTCTGATTCATTGCCCTGTGGTGAGGGACATTTGGGCTATGTTCTTGGCTGCCTTTGGTGTGGCTTGGGTGTTCCCTGAGTCCACGGTTGATTTGCTTGAGGCTCGGAAAGGGTGTATAGTGGAGAGCTGAGTCGAGATGCTTGAAGGGCCACTCCCCTCTGTCTTTGGTGGGGGATTGTGGCGCAAGAGAAATAGGAAATCCTTTGAGGGGGAGGAGTCTCCTATTTGGTCTCTCAAATACAATATTTGGTTTTCTTTATTCTTTTGGGTTAATGGGTGAAATTGTATATCGATGGATAGTCTTTTGGATTTTGTTGATAGTCTAAAGATGTAATGTCACTGGTAGCGGCATTTTGTTCTGATGGGAGAACTCCCCTTTTGAGTGACTTTAATGAATTTTACTTATAAAAAATAAAACTTGTTCAGATCTTCGTCATTTATACTCATAATCAACAAATAGTCAGAAACAAAGTCCATGGAATACGAGAGAAATGAGAGATGAAAGATGAGAGGAGAGAGAGAGAAGAGAGAGAAAGATATGGAATGACCTACTATATAAATACAACATGATCACAATATTAAGAACATCATAGTGAAGATAAAGATGAGATAGAGTGTGCGTGTTGTCCACCGTAGATCGCTGGAGGACGTGGTGTGTGGCTAGGGCTCCTAGCCTCGATGTTAAGAGTGAAGAGGATAATAGGGTATTAGCGTTAGGTTAGACTCTCTTTTTTGGGGAAAAAATAAAAATAAAATAGGGTTAGACATTATATATATCAATATTTGGGCTTCATGGGCTTGGGTTTTCTTTTAAAAGGTTGAGTGTTTATAATATGAATTGGGTTGGTCTCATATAAAATGAAAGAAACTAAATATTTAATGGGCTTATAATATGTGGGCTAAGCTTTCATCACAAATAATTATCAAGTTATCTTTATAATTTTCACGAGCCTATTAACAAGCCTGTTCACGAGCTGAGCCGGGGGCTGTTTGGGATTGGTTCATTTATTAAACGATCTTGAAAATTATGTTTGAGATTATTCGTTTATTAAACAAACGAACACGAGTCGAGCTCTTAGCGAGCCGAGCTCGAGTTGTTCATCAAACGTTTGGTTCATTTGCAGCCCTACCGTTATTAAAAAAGAAGATGGGATTTTAGTAAAACTCGTATTAGGTTGAAATATCCAAAGAGGACTAGATGACGATATTAAAACACAATTTTAAGAACATATGGACGAATTGATACAAGGGATACCTGAAGGAGAAAAAGTGTATAAAGGAGGAGAATTTAATGGTCATGTAGGAAAAGAGTGTGGAGGATATGAGATGGTACATGTTGGACATGGATTTGGATATAGAAATGGTGCCGGGTAGACTATCTTAGATTTTGCGGTAGCATATAATCTTATAATTAGGAATACCTATTTTATAATGAGAGATGAACACTTATAACCTTTAAAAGTGGATCAAATATGAGTCAAATTGATTACTTTTTAACTACAAAGGCAGATAGATTAAAAAGCAAAGATTGTA